TGAGTTCCATTCCCAAAATAACCATTCAGACAAGTACACTTATATGAGTCAGGTGTTTTGGTACAATTCGCTTTCTCGTGGCACTTGTTGAGGTCAGATGATTGACATTCATTGACCATCTCAAGAGCTGCCAAAGAACAGCAGTAAAATGTTTATTGAAAATAAGAAACAACATCAAGAATTATCAGTACATGATAATATGTAATTGAGTAGTTTGTAGGGTCGCGATTCCATGCACAGCACTGTACGTGTATTGGTAAAAACCATGAAATCTCTAAAAAAAGTAATTAGTTCAAATGGGTGCTAGTTCTATACACTTTTCTGGATATTTTAGTTACCTCGTGGTGGTGGCACGGTAGTTCGTGGCAGTGTGGTGGTTGGTGACAGGTTCGACACTGTTGTTGCTGAAAAATAGTCATAACGTTTGGATTAATTAAGCTGAGCCACCTTAAATTTTCGAAAAATTAAGATGGCTATGTACCCTCTTCACAGAGTTTCTTAAACTTTGTAAAAAGGTGCATCTTATGCTTGACACAATCCGATGATAAAAATTGGGGTTCACTGAGCTCGTTCTCGAGTTGTAAGTGCTTAAAGCTAAAATTAAGGGTGTTTCTACCAATCGGTATTGTTGCTACAGTAACCTTTTATATAAACTGGAATGACCGCAACTTGTTTACCAATAATTGGATGTTTGTACTTAATAAACAGTGGTAGTATTCATCCTTCAAAGTGAAGCTGTTGGAAAAGTGCTGGAAACTGTTACCAGCTTCCTTTAAGCAAATCAGGATTGTAACTTACCTGCGCCTCCGTTACCACAATACCGCAATTTGCAACCAGGCGACTCCCTTAACTGGTACACGAAGTATTCACCACAGTTCTTCACACTGATATTGTTACTCCAAAGACAGCAGTTGTCTTTAAAGTGATAACAGACTTTACCAGTCACCACACCTTCGGCGACTGTGGGGTGATTTCCCTGCAACCAGCCTGGAGCATGAGTACCACAGTGGTCCTTAGGAACACATTTATCAGGTATCCGATCCCCGGCAGCACCTTGGAAACGGTACCATCCTGGATCCAGCTTATTATCGCATTTAGCATTGTCCTGCGATGCGCTCCCTTGAGCGCGATCTCCTCCGTTTAGGACGTTGTATTTGTTACACACATCTATATTAAGGAAAAGGAGACCACTTAGCTACAGTCACCTTACACTACCTAAGACTCCACTTATCCACTCGCACTGTAGTGTATTTTAGCTTTCTTTGTGTTCAGACTTAAGGTTTACTTTCTTGCCATTTTCCGAGTTTTACTTCACACCAGTCGGTGAGGCAAGAGCACATTCTTCGGAGCCTTCATCTTCCAAACTAAGCCTAGGAATTGATCTTGTCCCTTTCAAAGAGGGCCCGCGATCATGTAGTCTTCATGCGAAGGCTCCAAGAGGATCGTGGAACCATCACACGCCCTCCTCGAAACTGCTATATCAAATTACACTTAGGACAATTGCTTTGTTATCACACGATGGCTGAGCACACTGGCCATGTATAAAGTTCAATAGTAAGAATAATGCCGTGTGAATTTCGTTTGAAATGCTGTTTCTTTAAATGGAATTACACATGAAATGGTTGACTCACGAATACAGCATTTATGGAGGCTCCGAGTCATGGGCTCCCAGTAAAGCCCACGTTTTCTGTCTCACTGTCTCTTCTTGTCTCGGCAGGGTTCGTGTACATTCTCGTGAAATGTAGAAATTGAGATTGTTTCCATACTTTTTCAACACCATTATTTTCACTCTACATTTAGTCAAACATTCCGGAATTAATTGGTTGGTAGGTAAACAGTAAATGCTTTCTTGGTTCCCCCTGGAGGAAATTGCTCGGGAAAAAAAAAGAAGAAATTTCCAAGATGGTCAGTAGTCGCTTGTTTCCGTTTGCGACATCCCAATTGGAAATTCATGTTCCATTTACCGTTTGGCTAATCTTTTATACCAGTTCCAGGTCTTCCTTCTTTCAAGGCCATGCCAAATTTGAAAACTAAACTTAGCTAGCAGTCAATTTTACTGGTGATTAATTTTAATTGGTGCTATTTCCAATATACTTCTTTAGATATTTTAGATGGTTAGATACCTGGTGGTGATGTGCTGTTTGGTGACAGAGTGGTAGATGCTGAAATTAATAAAACCAAGTTATCACTTCATGCTATTATATGGCTATGCTAGCTCACTTAGCGCGCAAGATAACACTACATGTATGTTGTCTGCTCGGGATTATGCGCTACGTCCCGCAATAAAAATTTGTTCCTTATCCCATACAATAAATCCTTTATTGACCACGCGTGAGGTCAAGATGGCTGGATATAATAAATGGCCTCTTTCTTTTTTGCTTGTTTATGAAACTCGACCCCGTCTCGGTCCATAAAAACACAAAAAAGAACTTAGCCAACATCCAGCCATCTTTACCTCACGCTTGGTCATGCAATAACCCATGTCATAAGCATATCAAATCAACGTTAAATATTATGCGATGCATGGCCTAGTACTCATGTTAAGAACCTTTTTTAAATAAAATACTCTAGAGAGGTATGAGTAAAACCAAAACCAAAACCAAAGTAATCAGTCTGGCCAATCACAAAGGACACGAACAATCCAATGATCCAATTTGAATCAAGCTCAAAACTACAATTCCTTCAATTCTGCGCGTTAATAAAGTTATTATTTTTGTTATTATCATAAAAAGATCATAATTTATTGTATGCTCTTTTCTTACTGGATGAGCTCGGTGAGATGGTAGTAGTCGTATATCCATCAATGACCGGGCAGGACGAGAGTCTCTGGTAGACTCGTTGATAATGGGCAATGAAACCATCCCTGGCACCTGACCAATCAGTTATAAAACGAACATGCAGCACGCTTGTGTTGCTGTAGACACACCAAGAATGGCGATAACCGCAGTATTTCGGTATGATGGGGTTCCCCTGATCGACTTCGTCAAATATCCGCACGTAATCATACAGGCAGCTATAGCCACCAGCCTCCAAATGGAAACGTACAAAGTACAGATAAACATAGTAGCCGGGTGTTACGGTAATTATCCAGGTGCAGTTAAGAGAGTGTGGATAGTGGTGTGGGTAATTTGGACTCGTGAAGCTTCCTTGCAGGTCTGTTAGGCTGTAGAAGCAGGAATCTGGAAATATTCAAATAGTATACAATTAATCCTACGGCATAATAGCAGCCTTGAACTAACGTGGATTCACATGTCACGTGTTCCAAAACAATGAAATTTTGCCCCTTGGAAATGGGTTCCTTTCTTTTGCAAACATGAAAACACACTATAAGTCACTGATCGTGATAAAAAGTTAACTGTTCATTCCTCTAACTCTAGACGCATTAGCCAATGAGACGACTGTTCCGTTTGTCCATTATCAGTAGTTTCATTAACAAAGTTGACCCACCTGATGTAGGTGTTGGAGCTGTCGTCCAAACTTCAGTGGGAAAAGAAAATGAAAACGGTGTAAGTGAAATAGTTTAATATACTACATGTACAAAGTACAGTTGAAATGTTCAATTTTCAAGACCCGTATAGCGTAACAATTATTTAGACAAACAGGAAGCTGATTTAGACAGCAATCTTATCACCTTAAGCGAGTCTTTCGAGATAAAAACTATAACAGAAGAAAGAAATGCATTTTTCCTCCCCAAACACCTTTAGCGCACAAAGTACCTTTTTCGCCTTGCTACCTAAACGCAGCTCTGCAATCAAGATACCAACGGATTTAAACAGAAAATGTCCAGTTTGATATTGCACATCGAGTTTATTATTCAGACCCCAGGATTTAATTATTCCAGATACATGCACGAGTTATCCACCTCCGTTTGGTTGAAAAACAATGGAATTGCGTGGTGCAAAGGAGTTGGAACATACAAAAGAGATTATAATAAGAAATGCCATCTTTATTACCAACTTTTCATGATTGACGATTGTTTTCATGGCGGCCGAGTGGTGTCGCAACCCAGTGGTCCCGGGTTCGAGTCGCACTCTGACCACCAACTGGATTTGTCTCACAGTAGCTCTGAGTTCAAATNAGCTGTCGTCCAAACTTCAGTGGGAAAAGAAAATGAAAACGGTGTAAGTGAAATAGTTTAATATACTACGCATACAAAGTTGAAATTTTCAATTTTCAAGACCCGTATAGCGTAACAATTATTTAGACAAACATGAAGCGGATTTAGACAGCAATCTTACCACCGTAAGCGAGTCTGTCGAGATAAAAACTATAACAGAAGAAAGAAATACATTTTTCCTTCCCAAACACCTTTAGCTTCCAAACGCCAGCACAAAATTGAAGAGATGATTTGACGGTTTGGCACACATCCAAGCTATAAAGTGAGCACAAAGTACCTTTCTCACCTTGTTACCTAAACGCAGTTCTGCAAACAAGATATCACCCGATTTCCACAGGAAATGCGCAGTTTGATATTGCACATTGAGTTTATTATTAAGACCCAAGGATTTATTCCAGATACAAGCACGAGTTATCCACCTCCGTCTGGTTGAAAAACAATGGAATTGCGTGGTGCAAAGGAGTTGGAACAGACAAACGAGATTATAATAAGAAATGCCATCTTTATTACCAAGTTTTCATGATTGACGATTGTTTTCATGGCGGCCTAGTGGTCTCGCAACCCAGTGGTCCCGGGTTCGCGTCCCACTCTGACCACCACCTGGATTTGTTTTACGGTAGCTCCGCGTTCAAATCCACGGCCACGTACGCTTGTAAACAAACAACTGGTTTGCCTCCGGCCAGTTGGGATTCCAACGTTATGTTCACTTTGAATTATTTGTTTCAGTTGTTTGCTCGGCCCCACTAGCCTTTGTGCTATTAATACCACCGAGGGTAAATAAAGGGTATATTTATTATTTTATTTATTCACTTCGAAATTTCATCCGTTCAACCTCAGTCTTCAATCCTAATACATGTAGCCGACGCAATGGGTTATGACCAAAAACTTGGTCAAGTGACAAAGATATGACGTGCAACACTGTACGTGTACTGGTGCTGACTACAAAAATCTCTTAAGAGGTGATTATATTTAATTTGATTATATTTGGGGTTCAGAACCACCTGAAAATTTAAGGTGGCTCTGAACCCTATGCACAGAATGTTTGAAATTAAACTTTGCCAAAGTTGCGTCTCATACTGCTCATCAAAATTTGATACAATGAAAAAATTTCACCATGCCGTTTTTGAACCATAAGCCCTTAAAGCTAAGCTAGGGTGTTTTTAGGTGGTCATACTGTTGTTATGGTAACCTGTTGTACAACGAAAATGATAACAATGTGTTTACCAATGATTAGGCAGGTTTTTGATACCATGAATGTAGCATTAACTAATAAAGCTTTAAGAATGGTTATGATTACCTGGCATCAAAATCTAAGTCTTGGAAAGTGCTGGAAACTGTTTTTAGCCACCTTACTTGAAGTGTATTTCGTACCGTGTTACCATTACCTCAGCGGTATTAAGAGGCTAACCTGAGAGATATTAAGGCCAACCGGAGCGCTATTCAAGCTAACCCGAGTGCAGATGTTAACTGACTCCGGTTGCCTGAATGGTTGGTTACGTTAGCTCTTGATAAGTTAATCGGCCGGTGAAAAGAATGGTCATTTTTACCATGTGCCGTATCTCAAAAATCCGTAAGATTAACTGCTTTAACTAACAAATATATCTTTAACAGTTTGGGCAAATGATTTAGAATTCGTTTAAAAATTATTCAAAGATATGATTCGCAGCACTGTACGTGTACTAGTGCAAACTATAAAATCTCTAAGAGGTGATTATATTTGAATCAACGCTGGCTCTGTAAACGTTTCTAGATATTTTAGTTACTGCATAAATACAGGACCCTATCAAGCATACGCACATGTAGCTGAACGTAAAAGCATTCGGTGGGTTTGCCGGAAGCGAGGAAAACAGTAAGAGAAAAAATAGCAGGGGGGTATGGTGCGAGAACCGACGCACTCTCCCCCCTGCTCCCCAACTAGTACAGGTTAGAAAACACGCGTCAACACACCGCATTCATATGGACTGTAAATTAGTTTTCCAAATGTAAATGTTGAAAACCGCTTTACAATTCATATCAGGGGTTAGATCGCACGTCAGCATGTAAGCAAAACTGTTCCCCTGCTCAGTTCCTGTTCCTTGTATGGGCACCAAAGTTCCCGAAGCCTCAAGGATTTTCATCATTAATTCATTGATATCCTTAGCAAGAACTAGTCTTTTTTGCCTTAAGCTGTGCACACAGACGAAAACAAGTCATCAAGTAGACTTGACAAATTATGAGGAACCAAGCCATGAACAATCACATTCAACCAGCCCGGCGCATGCGAACTGCATCGATTTTTGCCTACGCATGATGTGGGCATCTCAGTCCCCGCCGCCCCTCGAAACCGGTACCAACCAAATGGAAGATAATTATCGCATTGGTAATAACCGTAGTATCCATTATAAAATCCCATTCCTCTGACGGAGTCTTCCAGGTACGAGTGGTGGGAACATTCTGTCAGAAATTGAAGCAAGAAGAAAGAAAAGTGTCATGAAAAACAGCAACAACAACAACAACAACAACAAAAATGTTCGAAAACCTTTAAAGTATTTGAATTGTAGAAACATGAGTATGGCCGATGTCATCGAAAAACCAAAATTGGTGGTCTCAGGAAAAAAGAATGATTTGAACATTTTATAATCCAGAAATTTTGGTCCAGAAAGTCGACTTGAGTTGAGATAAGTTAATATTGACCAGTTATGATCAATTACGTTAATTAACTGTAACAAAGAAAAAAAACAGAGAAACAGAGAAGTATTTATATCCCAACCTGAAAGATGCGACGAACTTGCGCTTGCAGATGCAGGCGAGCCTGTGGTTGAAAGATAAAAAAGCTTCTTAGTTTAAAATGTGTTTTTAAGGAAACTTGCAAAGGAGCATCCCTAGAAATCTTAAAACGAAACTTATTACCCAGATCTTCTCACTGGTGATACTATGTTAAACACTCCCAGACATGGACAGACATACCAGCTACGCATGGCAACTATAGCAACGAATAACTAAAAATTACCTGACCGCCGGATGTTCGTTGTATATCAAGTCACATGTCCCGTTTTCAAGGCTAATAAATAGACATGGCCATGTAATCATGACGTTATTTACATGTCAATGATCATAGTTAAGTGTGGAGCCTTGTATTAATTGGGAATACCTAAATCTAGTTACAACAATATTAGACGTTATGAACATATGCCCATGAATGACATAAGCGCGATAAGGCCGTCCTTTTTTGGAGGGTATATGCGTAAGGTAGCTTGCCGGACCCAACCTACCACTGTATCCAGCTGTTGAAGAGGAAATTGGATACTGCCACCACCACGGCAAACTACGCTTAGATCTTGAATGGCTAGCACATTCATCAACGTCTGCGAAG